TAAATGCATTTTGCTGTAAAGTGGAACAGTTCAGAGAAACACATGTTCAAATCATCACTGTGAGTTTCCTGGTAAATGCACCTGAACCGTCGCTGTTGCACATAAACAAAGAGATCACACCGACGGGCGGATTTCCATTTAAATGCAGCACACAAACAAAAACCCATTCACTACACTATCAAGTCGATGAGCATCACTTGAACGGCTCCGACACTTCACGAGTCAGTCGGTCGTGACACCGGCGCAGTTTAGAAGAGGCAGAAAAAGATGCCAGCAGCAGTGTCTGCATCACAAACAAATGTGGCCATTCAACGACGAGCAAATCCGGCGGTTAACGTATCAGGGAGCTTCCTTCCTCCGCCGTCGACGACGAAAAATCACCAAACTGTTGATAGATGGTTAACAGGTGCGGGCTAATTATGCTAATCGCGGCAACAGCCAAATAAACTGATTGCCGTGTTCATTTAAATGACAGCAATGTTCCTTCGGTGGCTAATTAAAACAGGTCGGGAGACAGGAAACGAGGCGGTTGGGTGCGGATGGAGGGAGGTGTTTAAATAGAAGCGTTCTCTGGGGTCTACTGTAATAAGCTGTATTTCATTGGTTTAATGATGTCATAATGAATTTCTAATGATGGGGGATGGGTTAGGGTGCAAGGAAGAGGAGTGTGCATGGGACCGCATAGAGCGGAACAGTTACCCCCCCTCTCGTGATTAGAGAACACAACAAGGGAGCAGTAGCTCGCGCTGTATGTGGCAAAGGGTGTTCCTGCTTGAAATGAGTTGAGTAATGAAAATAAAAATCAGTAGAGGACATCGGGCAGGATATCTGCTCCATCTGTTTTAATACCAGCCCCACTGGATGGAGGGGAGGTTTTCAAGGGGCAATTACTTTTTTTTTGTTTTTTGTTACAGCATTGGGCCCAGTCCCCCCCCCCCCCCCCAGTCTCTGTTCGCCTGCGACCCAGGAAATGGCATCATTAGAGGCAGAGAGGGGAGATGAACTCTTGGGCCAGTGGAAGCCATTGTTGATGCATGGGCTGATTAATGTTGATAGAGGCGGATGCTGTCAACATCCTCCGTCTTCCCTCATTTCTACATGCCCCTGTTTTGATTCCACTCAATCAGATGAGATGGGGGTTTATATCCACATTTTTGGTTCTACTTTTGCAAACATCACATTTGTTTTCAAAAGGAGTTCCGCCAGGTACACGATTAGAGATCTTCTTTTTCATCCATGAGGGAATTTCTTTTCCTTCTCTGTTTTTATTCCCCTTTTCCTCTCCTGCTACAGACAATGCTAACACTAGGACGGTTGGGCAATACATCAATACGGTATCATTAGGCTGCAGTAGAAGTGTTACGTTCAGCTATCAGGCTACAGAAATAAAACAAGGAAAGAATACAAATGGGTTATTGAAGTCAAGAGAGATCACAGAACATATTTGATCTGGGAATGGTTTGGATTTCTAAAGCTGGATAAACAGCAGAGCGATATCCATTACAAGATTTGCAAAAAAGGAACATTACTATCCCAGGAAACAGAAAGTAAAAGTCTGCACTACCGAATTCACAGTGCAAGCACCCAAGCTCACAGAAAGAGCCTCTTGTGGTATCGTTAGTTCGAATCCCAGCAGCAGTCGGCTGTGTCTTTTTCAGACACCGCTGGATATGATAAGAGTTCAAAACAAGGAGCAGGGGCACAGTGAGTGCAACTTCATATTTTAAAGTGAAAAGGATGATGCCAGTTGCCACTATGAAAAAAAAACAACTGATTTCAGAAGCTCATGAAAGTGATTCTTTCCTCACTAACGGTACTAAATGTATATATGATCTCTTACTTAATTCTTAAATCCTCTAAACCAACGCTGGGATATAACTGTCCGTCTCCAGACAGTTTGGTATTCCAGTCAAACACCAGAGTAAGCAGTTTGTGATGCACTCAAGCAAAAACTGTCAGCGGATGCGTCTTTGGAGGGACGGACTGCACAAGTTGCATCCAGCATCGCCTGCAGCCACAACTGCACCACCTTCCAAACAGATTCACTCGTACGGCCGACGTCTCAGGCAGGTTTCAGAAAACGCTCCAAGAAGTGAAACGAAATTTGACGAGTTTAAAATTGTATCGGTAGATTTGTGTCAGCAGTTGTTTATATTTTATAGGGACTTGTTCGGCCTGTATGTAGCAGATACTGTATGTGCTGTGTGGCGTTTAAAAGGCCCTCGGTTTGAGAAGATGCATTCAACGTTTGCGAAGGCTCCGAAGCTGCTTCACGTTTTTACACTTTTCTTTGTGTAATTTAGTGACAAAAGGATGAATGATACCGTACAATGATACATACTGCATGCGTGACAGAGGTTAGAATCCCCATTGTTTGCAAGCGGATGTGCTCACAAAGAAACTTTTGTGTCGTGGTAACAAAAGAGCGCATTAATCGACGAGCTGCAAAAGTATAAAAGCCAAAGGAAGTAACTGGAGGAATGCACGACCCTCTTTCATGTTTCGTTTATGAGGCATTCTCGCTATTTAAATGTATGTCACATTAGTGGGGATCTACTCAATTCAATATATTATAATGTGATGTTTGGCCTTAATGGAAAATCAATGGCGGGACAAGCCCTCCACCACGGAGACCATACAAAAGCAATTTCCAAATTGACATACGGAGGGTCTCTGTGATTGATTCAGACTGCTGTTGGATTTTAATACCGTCCGCCGTGAGCTCATTGACTCTCAGAGACGGTCTTGCGGTTTATCTACAAACTGCCAAATGGGCCCTCGTCTTTTTATTTTTTTTTTTTCACCCTCCCCCTCTTCTTCACTCTCTCTCTCTCTCTCTCTCTTGTCTTTTCTTTCTCCATCTTTCCCTCGGCTCCCTCCTCTCTGGCCCAACGTGCAGAGAGCGGATCCGTTGAATTAAATCGGATACTTTGGATAAATGGGAAGATGAGTTTTACGCAAACACATCCGCTTCGCCATCGATCGCCGCGAGATGCGATGCAGTTCATTCATATCTCTGCAGAGTAATCCCCCCCCCACACATACACAATACTGCAAACATAGTACACAAACACACAATACTGCAGAGATACTGTATTAACATTCCCACTGCGCCAATCCTGACACAATGGCATCAGCTGTCATCATCAATTCAATGACATCATACTGTCCCAGCTGCTGGAATTAACAGCCGACAAGAACTGTCCTGATACAACCACAAACCTTCAGTTAAAACAACTTTCGTTCATCCATCCATCCAGTTTCCACCAGATATCCAGGTCTGAGTCACAGAGGCTGCAGAGCCCAGATGTGCCACATCCTCTAGCAGCTCCTGGGGGATCCCGAGGCATTTCTAAACCAGGTGGGATACATAATCCCCCCCTGAATTTTCTGGCTCTACTGTTAAGTCCCTGTCCAACATGCCCAGAATTTGTACAAAGGGAGTCCTTTCAATGCAAAAGAGTGTGACTTCTAGTACTACTCTCCTCCTTCCTGTTGTCCAAATTCCAAGAGCTCCGACCCGGCACACGGCTGACCTTCTGGCCACAACTCGGGGCAGTAAATAGAACCTCTCAGATTCCTCAGAGGTGGTCTCATGACTGCTCATTTAACACATGCACAAATCCACTTGAATATCCCCCAAGAAGCTCCGAGGACATGCCGGTGAGTGAGTCGGCCACCTTTACCGCTGAGCCGACACCCACGTTCACAGCAGGCTGTTAGAAAGCCGAGTTGGGTTTAACTCTCGTCCCGCAGTGACATGAGATGAGATTACTGACCCTGAAGTGTTACACCGAATGCTCATCTGAGCATGGTGCAGCGGATGTAGCTGACAGATTTGACTTTCGAGTGCCTTCAAACCCGGTGAAACCACATCTCTGTGCCATGTCAACTTCACACTCACACGTGTACCCACTCGTCCACTGACACACACAAGCTTCTTAAAGATTTAAATGAGGGCAACATGGGTGGGCACACATTCCCAAGAAGCGTTGCAGCTAACAGTCATATGATCTAAACCCACACATCTTGCAGAGAGAACTATGAAAAGCGTATTTTTTGTTTGGTAAGCATGTACCACACAGGTTATCTTTGCATCTGACAAAAGTAGGACCTGATCCCATCACGCCCACAGGCAGCTTCGTGTCTCTGAGCACCTGCCGTAGTTAACTCGTAGCCTGTGGGCAGAACCATTTCTGAGCCGATCGCAGCATCGGTGTGAAACTTACTTTGCCGAAGTCTCTGACGTCGAAGAGGTCGAAGGGGTCGAACAGCTCACTGTTGCGAAGGCCGAACTTGTCGTGGCAAACCTTGAGGAATGTCCGGATGTTCTTCAAGCACAGGAACTGCAAAAAAACAAACAGAGGACAACGACAGTTAACTGCATGTTCAGATTTCTGATTCCAGGGATAACGTAGAGCCAAAAGCCTGAAGTCATACCTGCTCACATCGGCCAATAAACGTTGGTCGATGTGAGACTTTTAGCTGATGTTTGCCAAAATGCACTGAAACTATTATAGAATAAATGATGTTGAAAAAGGTATTGGCTATTGGGAATGGTGAAGTAGAAGTAATTATAGTTCGTTGTTATTAATATTATTTACATTTACATTTAAATGTTTACGATGATCAATTCAATGATTTCTGCTCCTGAGCCTGATGCCTCTCTCTCTCTCTCTCTCTCTCTCTCTGATCCAGATACGAGCCTCTGACGTCAGAGCTCAGACAGAGCGTCTTCAGACAAGCCCGCCGGCAAAGACCCGCCCCCGGGGTGAGCGTGGCCTATTGGATGGACACACTGACCTCGCACTGAAAAGGTCGGAGGTCGCCAATCTGACAAACAACAACCATGGGACTATCTTCAAAAGAGACTTAAGAATCAAGACTTTTAAATTGGTTGAATCTGAAGTCATTCAGGAATGTGAACTAGAGCTTCGAGGTATTTAAAGATACAGAAAAGGCGACGGAGAGGAAAGAGTCTGTCAGTAATTAAAGATCATGCTTTATGGTATTTTTAACTTCTTCTCAGAATTACACAAAACTGTACAGCTTTTGTTTTCTTAATCTTCACTTTGTGCATGATTTATTATGTCAATTTGTCATTATGTGCCATTGCCAGTGTGTCTAATCTACCGTGTTCCACGTCTGGTGGAGAGAAACAAGCCAGACCAGTATTTTGGTTTATATTCCTTTATTGCAGATTGATATCTGCTTTCGCTACAATGGCTTCTCCACACCAGTCACAGGAATAGAACGTAGCCAATGAGAACTTGAGACAGGTGATTCACATGAGGGGGAAGGGTTCATATAATAAGGCGCCTGCAGAAGCCAAAAATATGCATAATAAAGCACATAATAAATACTCTGGTCGTGGATAATGATGGTTCCCAGTCTCTAAAATATGCAATCGCACAGATAAACCTTCAGGGATGTGGAACAGACCAATAACTGCACAGGAGTATTGAAATATTAAAGATCAGGATAACTGCCTCCCATCTTCCATCTCTCTCTCTCCCTCTGTGTGTGTGTGTGTGTGAAGAAGACATTACCTTGCGTGCAAATCCAGATGCTGCTCAGATATGCCCTTTCATTTCTCTGAGCGTGAGCGATATGAACTAATGGCCACGGAAGCAGAATGTACACGCTAAATAGATTTGAGTGGGGAAGCCGACGTGGAACAAAACTCTCAATTGTCTGTTTTTCTGCTGAAAGACAACACAACACACTTCATCCTTATGAAGGCTGTCGTGTAAAACTGGAAAGAGCAATCGGCATCCTTCTACGTCACACTTCTCATTCGACTCATCGACACCAATGTTCTGACATTAAACCAACTAAGAGTCTGAATAGAACACCATCAGCTGATCCTACATATATCTGATTTATTTTCTCAGAGATTCACACACAATTCTCTGAGAAATCAACTATCTTGCGCAATATTGAACAAAGTGAAAACTAATTCTGGATGCTCCCCCAGATTCCGATGTGCACCAAAATATAGGACCCATATCACATCCCTCTACAGAGTTTAGTGGAAATCCATCCTGTAGTTTTTGTGTAACGCTGCCAGCTAACAGACAGACGAACAAACAGATGAAAACATAACATCCTTGGCGGAATGAGGTCAATAGTTTGAATATTCCATGTAACTGAGCCGTTGGATTAAATATGAGCTTCACTGCAGCAGCAACAACATCTTCAGGTACAGAAACTCACTGCAGAGCCTCCTCGCTCCGCAGGAATAGAAAAGTGCACAATGTTCTCATTTGAACCTTCCAGTTAAACTGCAGTTTGATGAGCTTCACGGTTTCCTGTTGCTACAATTGACAATGTGGGACTTCAACCGCATCAGCCTTCCGTACTAATTAGCTTCCACGCTTTGGATGAGGCTTGAAAAGACAAATCAACTCCCTCTGTTCCCACTCCAGTGATTTTTCAGATGAGAGGCAGCTCCATCTGATATTTTCTGGTATTTTGTGGTATTTCATTTGGCCTCTGCTGGCCACACCTGAGAGCCCCGCTGACTCATTCTCATTCTTGTGCGCACATCTGCTCAGTCCCAGTGTCATGGGTGTGAACCCCATAAGAGAGACACACTGGCCAGTGAGGAGAAATGCGATTGGCTGGCTCGCCAAAGTGACATTTACAGTTCAGCTGCGAAGGTTATCGTGCCTGCAGATCCTCACGTGCAGTGGTGAAAAAGCTCCAGATATGAGAAGGTAACATTTGCTGGAGTGGTTTGGTGAGGGAGAAGGAGAGAGGGGCTCTGCAGATATGGATCTGCAGGGGGAAGATGTGTCTGACATTCTAATATATGTTTGGCGATAAGAGAGCCGGGGTAGTGGTAAAAAGAATTGCTATGATCTAGATGAAAAAAATACACCATTTCCTGTGGAGTGGGGGAGTGTGAGTGCACCTGGGAAAAAACAGAGCGCGGTCATCTCCTTGGGCTGAGGCTGCCCTCAGCACAATCCATCTGAAATTACCTCACAGTGGCCTGCAACGCATTAAAGCACAGATACTCCTCCATTTCTCACTGTGTCATGAGAGTGTGTTACGCACACAACAGCCTCAGACACACAAACTCAGCTGAACTGATTCAATGCCGACAGAATTCAAAGGTTTTGCACTTATGGACATAAACTATATTTAAAAAAAAAAACACACAATTAACTTCAGGCTACTGTTTAATTAATAATAGTTCAAGATTGTTAATTAACACAAGTTCCTAATTAAAAAATACCAACGAGTTGCTGGATAATGATGAATAATCTCCTTTATCTGATTTATCTGAAGTTTTTTTTGAAAAATAATAATAGTTGCAACCCTCCTTTAAAGAAAATAAAAAACTGGACAGGGGCAGATAGAAGATCTTTCCCTATCAGGGGCCATAAAAGGAACCTCTACATGGAGGGGCCACATTTATGTCCAACATCCATGAGCAATTCTTTACTCAGTGAATTAAACTGTTGGTTACCACTGGCTCTCCAGATCAAGACGTGCATTATTAAATGCAAAAAGCTCTTCATTGCATTTTAATCTCAACGCTATTTTCAACAATAGTGATGAGTTACTGAATTGCCTCAGTTTGTGAAAGGGTCAAGCAACCAGTGACTGGACTTGGGCACTTCAGGGGTCAGTCGGTTTTCACTGTGGCAAAAAGTGGCATTGGGCCCCGTCTGGATCCGCCCATGTATCTTCAACACATTACATCACTTTTAATTTTCAGGACAGCAGACTGGATCATTACTGCACGACAGTTTCACTCTGTTTCATTATACTGCAGAACTGTGGCGTCGCCGTTTCAAGCCACAAAAAGAAACATGCGGTTTTATGACTAAAACGTTGCAATAAAAGTTGATTGCAAGTGAAGCACATTAAGCAGGTGCTTGTTCCCAATTACAAGCAATTATATTATTAATTCTTTTTTTAGCACCTGTCACAAAATGGTGGTTCGTGTTGTTTTTTCAGTGTCTTGCGATGGAAAATACTTTGCGAATGCTGAAAGTGTTTAGTAGAAAAAAATCTTCACAGCTACACAAGAAAAAACACAGAAAATGTGCAACATTTCTAATAATCAGTTCTGAACCACTTGCCTCAAGTGTTGACCATCGTGTCAGCCCACCTGTCACAACTCTGAATACTGGCTTCTGAAAATCACGCTTTCAAGACTTTCAGTCCTGAAAGCAAGGGCAGCAATTACCAGAGTCAACTCCCGCTGTAATCATGAGCACTAAATCAGACTTTTCACAAATTATAACAGAGGAAAAAGAAGGTCAGAGAGAGCGAGTGGGGAATAAAGAGGCAGAGGAAAAGAGAGGAGGTGAAGAGAAAATGATAGAGAGAGCGATTGCCTGTAGGTGGACTCACAAGGCGCATGGCTCGTGTGCTCCACTGGAGCGTCGGCTCGGATTTTGACTTCTCAGTCAAGAGCAAACAACTCTTAAAAGAGGTAGACTTGTTGTCAGGAAGGCTGAAGAGAGACAGAGAGGCGCGAGAGGAGGGAGAGGAGTGAGAGGAGGGGAGGCAGGAGGGAGAGGAGCAGCAAAGAGTCAGGTAACAAAGAGCCGTCACCTCCCTGACAAGCCCATCTACTATATCACTACGCTACATCATACACGGAGGAATAATGCATAACTCCTCTGGGAGGGTGGCCCTTATGTGCACACTCTCCGAGATGCTTGTATCTGACGAGATACAAATTAGAGCATCCTCATAAAATCTGAACAACAGCATGTTAGAGAAATGTGATGCAGGGAAAACAGGGAGATATGGATATGAGGAGGAGGAGGAGGAGGAGGAGGAGGAGGAGGAAGAGGAAGAGGTGGCGTGTTTTCCCAAAACCTCAGCTCTTTGGTGTCGGAGAGGAAGGAGGGGCTGGGAAAGAGAGAAGTCAACCCACAGGGGAGAAAAAGAGGGAGAAGCTGTGACAAGCTGAGAAACAAGAGGAAGCAGTTACGAAAATGCACAGAAGTGATGTGAACATGTTTCCTGGATCAATCATCTCCCTGGATCTACAACATACTGCAAACACAATAATAACACCTTGTGTCTGGCTCACGTTCTCTTTCCACCGTCACACACTGAGGTTCTGGAAATGATTTGTGTTGGTTGGTCAATTTGGGGGCAAAGGAGAATAAAAATGTGTTCTGCTTAAAAGTTTAAAAGATCATCAACAGAATGTAAGGAACAGTTTTAACGCAGTGTTAAAGGTTGTGGTAGTGATGCTATCTTCAGAATGTAGCTCATGAAAGGCTTTTATTTCTTGTTCCTAGAAGTTTTAGTGAACAACAAAGTTTGGGAAGGTAAAGATAAACAATATGTCTTCCATCAATGACGTACGCGG